ATTAATAAAGCTGGTAGAGAGGGGGAGATGTGCGCTGGGAGGTGAATGAGAACCTATTTTCATCGAGATGGCGCAACCGTCATACAGTCAGAGCGCCTCTGTACCTTCTCAGTAATTTTTCCGAAAAGCTTGACTTGAGATAAGCAATGGATCCCTAATCTGAGCTCTTGCGGCTACTTTCTATGGGAACACCTCAAGTCGAAGGTTTTCGAGACTCTTCCCCCAACGGTTCAGGATTTGTGAGTTCGGATTGAACAAAAAGCTTGTGCGATAACACCGGCGATGCTAAGACGTGTGTGTGAGAATTCCATTATGAGACGGAGACATTGTGTCCAAAACGATGGTCACCCCCTCACTGCAGTCTTGTTCAAAAATATAAACATTCGAAATGTTGAATTATGTAGGTTTAAATGTTTAGTGTTCAAAAGCACAGTTCACGAAAAAATTCTTTCTGAGATTTTTCTATTTATGAATTTCGGGCTTCCCTTTATACCATACCTGTCGTTATAAGGGCGAAAAAGTCCTGGATAGGATACATTAAGGAACCAGAGAGTGTACCGTGTGTATGCCACACCCCTAAGGGACGAGTTTCAGCGGCTTTGTAGAGGCTGCATCATTCACAAGCGAACCAATGTAGGAAGTTAAAACAACTTGTCATGACCCATAGCGACAGTGAAAGGCAATTCTGGACATTTTTGACTTGATGTAGTCAGCTCTGTGCACAATTAGAGTAAGTAAAATCTCGTCCAAACACCCTTCCATGCCATTCCCGTCACGGTGACCTCGTACAACCTCCACTCCCATTACTTTTAAAAAACCCATGAGTAGGCGGGTTTCTCACTTCCTTCACCACCGACTTACTCCTCTACGTCAACACTTTTCAATTTAAAAAGGGAAAATTAAAATTATCTTGAGCTGTGCCTTCAAAGCAAAATTTGCATTTATGTTCCTGTGATTTGTTGCAATACGAAAAAACTGTTTGGTTAAAAAATTGTTCCTGCGTGTGTTTTTTGAACTTGGAACCGTGCGGTTTGGCTGCCCCACGGTGCTATCAAAGGTGGAATGCACAAATCACAATCACGTCAAGTAAACGTGAATCATTGCCATGGACTTCAATCCGAGAACTGAATTTTGGTTTGTACTTCCTGGTGACCAGCAATCCCTCCCGGAGTCAGTCTATGGAGGTGACGCTAGTGTTAGAAAACGAAAACACAGAGGGTTCAAAAGTAAAAGTTGTACGGGACACATACAGAGCTCCCCCCCCCCCTTGTAATCGGAATGAAGGGTCAGTTTACCATTGCATTCAACCCTTTCGTAGAAAATGGCATTGGTCCCTAGAATCGAGACTAATTTAAATATACCAGTTGTGATGACTTGTATAATATGAATGTGACCTCCAAATCCAGGTGGTAATATAACGGAATAAGACCCAGTTAGACCTTAATTGACGGTGACGGCTGAAGAGGATGAAGCAAAGCCAGAACTACTTGGATCTACGTCTCCTTTGGAGATGTGCACAGTGTGCTATAACCCTTTGAACAGCTTAGAAGAGCAGCTCCCAATATTAAGAAATCATCTTCTATGATAACAAAACGCTGGTGGTCGGTGTTAACGCGCCGCATCAAAATGGGTCACATATTGTGGGGTCCTTCTTCTACTCCCTCTTGGCCTATTCTGGTCCTGACGTTCTCTTTCTGTGAGCATCCAAATCCCGCAGAAGTCAATGATGAGCTCAATGAGGTGTACAGTACATACCATGGTCTCAGAACCTTCGTCGTGGTGGCACACTACATGACTAGATTGGGTGATAGTTTCGAAAAAACGAAGCCAACCACGAAACATCCGTGTTCCGAAGGACTTGCTGGAAATCGGATCGTCGTGGTAGAGCAGCTTCACGTCACTGTGACTAACAACACGCCCATAGCGTGGTGCTGGTGGTGGAGGTGGAGGTGGTTGTGCGTTGCAAGAGCCGAGCAAACATCGACAGTTCACGATCAAGCGGAAGTGCGACTGTACGCGATGCTCGAATATTTGCCGACGATTTTTTTTCTGTTCAAGTCTCTCTCGGAAAAATGACCGCGCACCATCGCGGCCGCCACCAGCACCGCCGCGCCACCGCCGAGCTCAGCAAACAGGTGGAGGCTGGAGCCAACAGGCACTGACCTCAACCACCACCCCGCTCTCGGACCACGCACCCCCAGCTGGAGCAGTTCAGTGTAGGAGCCGCGCATGACGACACGCCACGACCCTGCCCGTGCTCTGTGTGGCCGCCGAGGACATCCCGAACTTTTCAACACCTCTGCCCTAAGGATCCTCTGCCCTATTCGGATTGAGAATTCACTTTTCAACATTCACGTTCCTTCTATTGCGGCACTTTACCGCACTGATCCTCGCTGCCAGCAACTTGCTCATAGTTATTATCTTACAGCAAATTCGTTATTACAGTGATCTTCATCCATGACTCTACATCTACCTCCCCTTTACCCTCACACCAAGGAATGACCAATCTATGAAAAGTTCTGAGGGGGTTTTCTGATTTTGTACAAACCCATCACTGGTATAGATCAGCAATTTTTTGCTTCTGCTCCCATTAAAGCTGAAACATCGCCATAAATACAACACTATTCATTCCCACTTGGTCTAATCAGATACCCTGCTTTACCGCAAGGTAGAACTCTTCGAATTTACGTGAAAGCCCAATGCTGTTCCAAGTTACTGTTATCACTATCGACTAGAGGCAATACGGATGAAGCTTGTATTCTTTAAGGATGTGCCGTTTTCTTGACTTACTCTAGGGATTTTAACGGCTCTTTCTAAAGAGGATACAAGCGATAAGTGGGCTTACATGGGCGAAGTTACTTGCAAATTAGCCTTTCCCCTTTCTGAAAATTTGAATCCCTTCTTACTCCCTGCCCTCTGGCGCCTCTGTAATGATCTGAAAGGTGTTCCCACCGTTCTGTTTCTTGCGCTCACAATCAGACCAATTTACTACCTCCAACGGCTGTAGTTATGGAAGCCCAAGTAGTTATGTGCAATGCTGGCATTCTAACGACCCGCTGAATACGTTAGCTTAGGGGTAACTATAGGGCTGGACGAACCTAAAGCGTCCGACCTGAGAAGAGCTTCTTTAAGAGATCTATAATCCAAGTGGACTCATGATCATTATGAAGAGTTGCCTAGCTGACTGAACAATGTCAACTGCTGCTCAGCGTGCACGATTCACAGTCCTTCCTGTTGCTTCAGATGTCCCACTTTAGAATGGAATTTCTCCCTTCTATGACTCTTCCAGATCCCACTACTCGTTTCCTGAGGCACATAGCCGTAGATGTTTGAGTGGGTAAAAGGGAAAAGGGTGATCGACCAATTTTACCATACATGTATGCGAGTCAAGCGAGCGAGCGAGTAAACGAGCAAACCAGAGTTTACTTGTAGCGTCGAGGAAAAAGGCTCTTTTGCAAGAGACTCATCATGTGATACCACAATGGAACAGCAGGAAGGCTGGAGTTGGCCACTAACATATTGGCACTAACGCAACGCTCCATAGTAAGCGATTGACCAGAATTCACTAGCTTTGACTGCGCTCACCCACCCTTGCTCTAACAAGCCCCTCTCTTTCCTAAACATAGGTAGATGGAAGAGTATGTGGGGGTTAGATCCTCGTATGTTACCTCAGGAGCTAGCTAATAGCCTGGTCAGATAACTAATGCTTTTGAGGATGAACATGCGAGGATGGTCTAAGGATGCTGCATACAGTTGCCTGAGCTGAAGATGGGTACCTTACCATCTATGACATAGATAGTTCTCAATGCTGCTGCAGCTACCTTCACCTAGACTGCAAAAATTCCAACTACCTATATTTACTGGCTGCTCAAAGGCTTGCTAAATTATCAAAAAGCTAAAGTTTTCAGCTACTGAAGCGCAGCCACAAAAGCATTGAAAACGCCCCAACTAATCACAACAACACGCTTATCCATTGCCCGGGTTCTTGCTCTTCCACCCCTTCTCAGATGGGACATAACTTTCATTGGTGTATGTGGGTAACCCGCTTCGTATTCGAATTCCCGGGGCCAGCGGCAGCTGTCTCGCGACAGGTACCGTATTCTTCCATAAGGAACTCGAATCTTCATTTTACCATCGCGGTCGGTGCGTTGCCGTAGGACGCCGTTCCGGGTACCAAATGTTCCACCCTGGGGTGTCAAAACACATGCACTGCATTCGATTTGTGGGTTTAGTAATGTCAAGCTCAATATTATGTGATACCAAAATATGGCCAATATTGTTTCTAGCCATTGCTGGAACTGATGTTTGAATACTCGTTCACAGAAACACTGCTTATCTCACCTTACCCCTACAAGGAGAGTAGTCATGAGTTTCCGCTCACCGCATACGCTTGCCTATGATCTCACTAAAATGTTTCGAATTCGTTTCGGATCAACTAAAGAGCTCAAAATATTCCAGTTGTTGATTTGGAATCATGGTGGAACTGAGTTCCATGTGTCAGACTCTCACGCCGCCGCCTTTCGATTTGGCAACCTTTCTTACGGGAGCATTGCAGCTGAGACAAACTAGCCAACTGACTGGGAAATCGCCATCAACCTTCGAAAAAATTCACAGCGTGAGTACTTCTGATGCTCTTGTATTGAGTGATGGCCTTCATACTGGTTATCAGTTGAACTAATCGCAATAGGTTCTTAAAATCTCAAAATGATCAATGTCGTGGGAGTAGCTAGACCACTTCCTCTCGGTGGAAGAGAGAGATTGCAAGGAAGATTTCTGATGGGTCTAAAACGCATGTTTCTCAAAAAAGTGATTTCAGCAAACTTCAATATCACCGGTTAGTGATGGACGTAAGAGAAGACGTGGAGAGGTGAGTAGCAATATTTTGTGAAAAAATGGGCAAACCGACTGAAAAATCATTCTTATGCCACAAGATTGGAATTCTTTCGTTGAGCGTTGACAAGAGTTGTGTAACAGTTCTGGACTAGTGCCAGAAATTTATAATGTCCAAAATCGTCGTCCTGAAGATTGTGTCGTATCTCCTTTCAGCTTATAAATCCTGCGAACACTCTCGATGGCCTCGTAGCTCGTCGTGCTGACGACACCCACGAACCGTTCCAAAAGCGCTACCTCACTGAGCAAGAAGCTATAGAAGGACCGGACGACGAGGCTGAGGCTAAGGTTCGACATTTTTTGAGTTTTTTAGCGGCCTTCAGTCATTCATTCCCATTACAATCAGTTCAATGAATTGATTTTTCGATTACTTTCGCAAATGTAAGAATCAGGTGCATAGGAACAGACTCGGAACTTATTAGATGGTAGCGAATTACAGCGCATGGAGAGCGATCCGGATGTGTCCACTCGAACCTGTTCCACGTGTGGATACGTAGGTAAATGGATTTCGGAAATGATTCGCCATAAGCGAGTACATACCAATGAGCGGCCATTCAAATGCCGTTACTGCTCCAGGACCAGCAAATGGAAAGCGGACCTCATCCGTCACGTTGCCAGTGAGTACAAATGTTGAATTGTGCCAAAATCGAAAAAGTGATCATTACGAAAATGTAGTCATGTATTGCTGAGCAAGGTCGGACATGTGTTGCTTGCGTTACAGAGAGTCGCTCCATGTCGTCTGATGACACGAGATCGTATCGTAAAAGGAGCAGAAGGGTCATTAGAGTACTTAGGGTGATGATTTGGTCTCTCTTGGAAGGGAATACGTAACTTGCTGTGTTACAAACTTTAAATAAGTACCAATTGATGCAAGGTCTTCAAACAATCAATGACCTCTCAATGCATAAAACACCGGTATTTTGAAGATGTGAAGAGGTCTTACGCGAAAAGATGCGACATTCGCATCCTATGGGTCTAACTTTTCCTGAGCGTCGATTATTTCAAATTAGGTGATCCGAGGAGTTCTGACGCATCCGCGAGTTTGCAAGCTTCCAGGCCCTCGACGCATTTAACCACTTCTTTTCTGGATGGGAGACAAAAATGAATGCGGGACGCATCCCAGAAGCAGGACTAGGGTTCCTGCCCTGTCAGCTGCCTCTAGTTGTTACCGAAGTTCTATTACTCTTCAGAAACTCATGGAATACGTGTCGTATCAAAGTACAGCCGGTCAAAAGCGTTTGATCAAGCTACCACCAATCTCGCAAATAGAGACGATGAAGACAAACCGCGTGTGTTTGCATGTGAACCTGATAAGGAGCCTGAGCGTCAGAAGCAGGTAAAGGCAGCCATTCTGTCATTTGTTTTTTTGCTTTTTTATAATGTAGAAATATTTAGCCACCAAATGGGAACGTGACAAGCTGTGAAGTGACACGACCTGAACCGCTGGTACCTGGAAAAACGCCACTCTCCTATAGATGCTCGCAATGCTTCTTGGAGCAGGTAAGACAACAAGAAAGAATCTTTCCACCTCGCGAGCGACGGCAGCTCGTGTTCACTGTAGGCATTGGTGGATTGTAAGGAAGTTGCTTTGTTTTTGAAATGGGGGCTTGTTCTGCACAATGAGTGAGGAGGGGAGAGAGGCTCCCGCTTCCATTAACTACGCTTAATCATAGGATGCTTGGCCTCGTGGACGTCTTGACGTAAACTTTCCTGTAGGTTTTTGTCTTCGTCGACGAGGAACTACTACATCCAGAATAGTTGAATTTTGCTTTTGCAAAGATCAATAATCTGGGGAGAACTCCCCTTTTGTTCTCACCGTGGGGAATGTTATGTGGGACTAGTTTTATATTCACTTGAAGGCTGCGCTCTTTACAATAAGATGGACCAAGATACCGCCGGGGCTGCACCATTCACAACGGTACTTTATTGGTGAATCGGTCCTTTTTGTGTAGAATCTTCTTGACAATACATCGTCGATGGGATTGAGATCTATTATATTCTGACCCACACCTTCAGAAGGAGGTCACGGCTCGGGGTTCCTATGAACTCAAACTTGCCGAGATGAAGCTAACCATCGCTATTTTCAAAGAAGGCTTGATCGATTCCTCAAAACATGTGTGCTAGATTGAAGATCGAGGTGCCACAGTAATTTATTGCATAGGACAAAAATAAGTACCCCTACGAATGTCGCTGAAATATCAAGTACCTGTGTAGCTCTGAATAGACCCTAAATATACAATACATTGGGAAAGAATTGTACATGAATGTACAACTGTACATGAACTTACATGAATTCATTCCAGCCAGGCCTCTCTGTGCTTGTTCATCACTTGCGAACAGCCCACAACAAATGCCCGTACGAATGTCGCTGTCGCGTCGCTTTCAACTCCATTGGTGACGCTCTCAATCATGCAACGACGTCATTGAAGTGTTCATCGGATGACCTCGTGTTGAACGTCATACCAATATACAACAACAGATACCGTAAGATCGTTATAGCTTTCATTTCTTACTGCAGACAAAGGGGTGGTTACAGACCTGCTACTGCGAGGTCGTAACAACGTAATGAAGACATTAACCCAAATCGGTAAGACGAATTCGTTGCAGACGCTTCAAGCACTACCTCAAGTGGTTCATTGAGCCCCACAAGGTCCCGCAACGAGTGCTCACCGGACAGTGGAGTACAGTTGGATATGGATGAGTTGGATATGGAACGAATCTCATGCATCCCACAAAAAACCGTAAACAACAATTCGGGAAACGAATCTGTGTTGGGTGAGCCATCGGATGAGTCAACACTATCTTTTTGTGGGACAAATTCTTTGATTTTAGCAGGATTACTGGCTCCTTCACTGTTACCAACTACCAACTCTAAAACTGCCCTCCCATCGTCACTGGACCTTTCGGCAGCTTTGCTGAGCCTTCAACTTCCGTTTTCTCCGGATTATTTGGCCGCTATGGTTGGCGTTAAAATATCTCGCTTAATGTTGAAATTTCTCAAAGAATTTAAAAAATAATCTAATCAATAAAATGAAAGAGTAGGTCCAGCGAGAAACCTAAAGGGACCCGATCACAATCACAACTAGTATATTTATGGGCAAGCGGTTTGCCCGGTATGCGATTCGAATGAGCGCTTGGGGGAGGAGAGAAGGTACCGATGAGGGTTCGAAAAAGGTTTACTCTTTACCTAGCTGCATTCCCCATATAAATGCTACAGATTTGCCTCTACGGAAGAAATCATGTGCCGGGAACAATTTCTGACCTTATCCAAAAAGAAACCCCTACAATGCGTTATCTTGGACGATCAAAAATTATGCCGTTAGTGGCCACTTTCATTCCCTCAAATGCAGCTGACGAGAAAGTTCCCTACAGTGGAATTCCCTAATCCATGCCGTCATATGCTACTTATTAGACTCCCCATTCCGTACGCATATTCATAAGTATCTGATTGTAGCCAACTTTTGATCTGTTACCGAAATTCATATCAAACTATGGTTACGCCTGAAAACGCTCCCAGTCACCTTACATTTTTCTAGTTGAACAATTTGTTGGTATTTTTTTGGTCCATAAACAATCGCAGCGTTAACCGCCGCTACTCTTTCTTCACAGTGCAGTGATTCATACTTGAATTTTGATAGGCCCTTCCGTATGCTTCACCATATTTTTTCAGACTTCCATCCTCAATTCGTCATCCTCCTTCATGTTGCCGGTCATCGATCCAACACCGTATAAGTGTGGAAAATGCGGTATTGCACTGAACGACATCAGCAGTTTTGTTGCGCATTCATGCCTTCACTTCGCTCAGCCGCCCTTGACTGCCCTGGGCGCCGATTTACTGGTCCCATTACAACGGCTTGGTTCACGAGATGAGCTGGTTGATGTGGAGATGTAACAAAGCAACGTTATATTGGATGTGAGAGAAAATGATCTTCGGGACAAATGATTACTCTAGCTAACTGCCATGTCTGAACAATGGTTATTGTGCTCGTAACAGCATTAACGAACTGTTTCGAAAAGCATCGGGGAATCCCACCAATTCAGGAAAACAGTACTCTTTCTTCACTCTCTCGTACTTAACGGTTAATTCATACTTTTCTGTATTCGTGTGTAACCTATACTGATAGCAATGACGCGCTGAGTGTGTGAATGAAGTAAGTGAATTAGGGAGGTGAGTTAGTCAGACATTGTTGTTTAGGATACCTATCTTGAGACACTGAATTCACTATTGTCTTCAAATTCTGTGATTTTGGGGTTGCCCCCCCCCCCTCTCTCTCTAATTGTAGCACTTACTATGTACACTCCGAAAACCTCAAATATATTCTCACAGTTTTTGCGCTCCCCTATTTAGGCTATGTTCCTGTGAAATGTATAAGGAGAAGTGGGATCTTCCAAGAGCCCCACTTTTTGTAAGATTCACAGCGAGAATGAAACTTATTGAACGCCTTTGATTAAAATTATTGTATTCCGTCTCCCCTAACCTCACAAACATACTCAATTACAATTGAAATGGGCTCAGCGAAGACTGTGGTTCATGCAAGAGACATCGTCAAAATGTGCGGCTTCGCTGTTAGGGCCACTTGGATTTTCCGAGCCTATGAAATTCCCCCTCTTTGTGTACACGCGTTATGTCTTATTTATGCTTTCAAATATTGTGTATCTCTACGGTATCACAGGATGACAAACGGTTTCGCCCAATTCCGATGCATTTAAAGACATCCTATCACTATTGAAGCTTTTTTCCTACTCTAGTTAACGCTCCGATAAGCTCTCATGGGTTCTGGATATCTTCAGTTGTTTACGTTTTGCTTATGTAATAAATATTGATATTGGATGTTTTTTGATTCACCGATATTTCACAGATCCATGATTTGTGTTGTGCTACAAAGAAATTCATTGTAGTCTTCACGCCTTTGAGAGATGAAAAATAATTTGAAAGAAAAATCAAACAAAGTTGGACTTTTGACAGTGACCGCGCTTTTCTGTAAAACGTATAGTTGCGCTTTCCACACAACTGTTTTCACTCGGAAAAAAACATAATCTTGTTACCTGACTAGGCAAATATCAACGTGAACAGGGTATTGGAATGAAGAACCACGATGGAGGATGCCTTGGAAATCTGGGACTTGGAATGGGATACTATGGAAGACAAAAAAACGAGCTGACTACGACTTGGTCATCATTTAAAGGCACAGTTCACGATGAAAAAAGGTTACTCAGTTCATCCTTCAGGAATACTCAGCACACCCATTGCTGGTAGAAGGGACCCTCTCGCTCCCACAATCTCGGCGCTTAGGGGCATAGTGGAAGCCCAGTTGCTGCCGCAATTGGCTTTAACGCCCCTCGATCGATGTCGCGTTAGACGAGTGTCGAGACAATACAGATTGCAACCATTCTCTCTAGGACCCACTCACAATCAGCTGATCGCCGAGTGATGAGGCGATGTGTTTCTCCCATTCTTTTTCCCTCCGTTATTCTTTTTACTGCCGCGATCCCTTATTTAATTTTNTACTCCTAGAGGCTGGAAAAGGTGAGCTACTTTTGGTTTTTTTCGTTTACTTGTGCTTATAAGTGGATGAATTTTTGCTTGCCATAGTCTGTTATTCGCCCTAGGACCCACACGTACGCAGTGAGACGCATTTCACGGCTCGTCCAAACGCCCCACTCTTCTTCATTTTTCTGGTCTCATTCTCGTCCAGCTCCCTTTTTGCCGGTTTTTCGAATTTCATCATAATCTGGATTACCCGGAATTAACACGAACTGTGCCTTTGACCGAAAACGAAGCTGTGCACTTCAACCTGTGATAAGACCGCTGAAAAAATACGTTTCCCTATATAACGGCTGCCAACAGCCTCAAGTAGACTGTATTGTCTGAAAACTTATCTTTCTACAGCATGACCTTGGGAGCAAGCAACTCCTGATGCTTCCAGAAGTTGCAATACTGTTAGGAGGGCACTGGTTGTGAAGAAAGTATCTAAAAAGTAGTTCGTTTCTTCACATTGGTTAGGCGAATTACCTGTCATCGTCATTCCTGTGACTCCTCGGTGAGGTCGGCTAACGTGTCCAATCAAATGAGTGATAGTAAAAAAACTGAAAAAAGTATGAACGAAATATTGACTTTATTACATACCTAGGAAAAAAACTAAAACTGGAAGTAAATAAAGTTATGAAGGGAGAAAGTAATGTAAATCAGGAGAAGTAAATAGAGTTATCAGTAAATATTACGTAGCTATTAATGAGCATCGATGTGGAAGGCGTTTCATGAAAAAAATAAGTGTTCTAAGGAGAAACAGGAGCTCCGAANACCAATAAAGCGGTTTCTGCCTTAACAAACCTGTACGGCAAAACAGTGAAAAACATTATACAATATGCCCAGGTTTCAAGAAGACCGAACATGGAAGTTCTAAGGAGCCTTCAACAACTCAGCTTTTGTTTGTGCAAATTCCATACTGTTCTAGGTGGGCTGAACTGAGTGAATAAAGAACTGAGCTTAAAAGGAAAGTTTATCGCTATAAGCATCGAGGGTAAATAAAGTTTCTTTGCAGTGTAGCCGTTGGCTGTTTGAGGATTCCTCTTTTCTACCTAACATTTTATTGCTTGTCTAGCGCAAAGTCATACAAGTTGCTCTCCTATCAAGGAGCTCCACTGTGAATTTTGTGCTGAGATTGTCGCAGCGAGAACTGAGATCTACGTATTTCAAGAATTTGGCAGCTGCAGGCCCAAGAAGCCTTAAGAGGTGTTGCCATTAACAAGCGTTGTTTTGACGTATTGTGAAATCTACACGGAGAATGCATGGAGTACCGTAGCACTATAAAACTATGCAACATTTCGCAATAGCGTGATCTCTGATTCTAGAAGCATGTGTTCCCTGTATGGCAAAGACGAAGAGTTATCCAGGCAATTGCGTGAGCCGTTAGCGGTGTGTTTTTTGGCCTCCTGGCTGGTTGTCGGATACGACGACAAGCGGAGACATTCCTGTTCCTTTGAGTCATGATGCCAGAAGACTCAATTCAATCATCCAAGCTGTGGAGACTGAACGCCCTCGTCATCTCAGGCACCAACGGCCCTCATGCCTTCAAGAGAGAAGGTCAGTTTGATCACAGTAATGATATTATTCGAAAGGTAAGGCCCTTAGAATGTCGAAGGGCAAAATCTTGAAATATTCGTGGTAACTTGGGATACTACTGTCAAAAACGAAACATTTAAGATTACGGATTCCTACCTGCAAATTTTTCATTTTCAATATATAAAGAGGGAGTCAGGAGGCTCTAGAGTATGGATTCGGAATTCGAAGAATTTTTGGAGATCAAAAGAAAGGGGCAGGAGAGCAATCGGTAACGGAAGTAGTCTTCGTCCATGCCTTTTCGAAGCAGTAAAACAGCGTAGCGTCCTACTTCCACGCACGCCAAACAGCTTCATGTCGAACTGGAGCAGACCACACACCGATCGTTGCACCTATTCTAGTTCGAGGAGTAACCTACTACTCTCTAGGGAATTTCGTGATTATTACAAAGAAGAGGAGGATAGAGGACCCTCGTGTAATCTCTGTGGAATAGAAGTCCGCTGGGTCAACGAGTGTCCAGGAATCCAATAGTGAGTCTGTGTTTGGTTCGACACACTTTTATGAAGCATTACTGGCTCTCGAGCCACCGAGGTTGTCTAGACCACGATTTTACAAGGGTTCTCATTACTCTTTCATTCTACTCCGTCTAAGCCAGTAGACTCAGGCTCACCCCCATGCATAAAGG